GCTACCTTATAAATCTACGATTCCTGGCATAAATCGAGTCGGGACGATTTCTCCCGATGTGGCGAGGTTTTCCGATAATTTATGCCGATACGTCTAATCGAGTCGACAGATTGAGTCAACGGATGGCCGTCGCAACGAGCTCGGTAACTGGTCGAACTATCTCGGCGACTCGATTTAATCACGCGCGCGTGCGCACGTGTGTGACAGCGAATTAGAGCGATTGGAAATTTATCGCGCGCGCGCGCGCGGAATCGCTTCCGCGGATTTCCCGTTCTCTTCGGAGGAGGAGGGAAGAAAAAAAAAAGAAGAAGCTACGCGACGAGAAAATACGGCCGCTTGCTCGTGAGCTCGTTAATACCTTCCGATCCGACTACTCTCTTCGGAGAGCCGCTTGAACTTCGGCCGCGGTCGTTTGTCGTACTTCCACTTCTTTGCCCGGCGGGCGTAAACGCGGCCGCGACGTTGCATCTCGTCCGCGCTTCCTCTTCCTGCTCGTCGGCCGCCTCTCTTTTAGGCGGCCGCTCGCTCGCTCGCGCGGCGCAACTTCAACCGGCTAATCGGCGACAAAGCGGCAGCGGAGCCTCTCCTCGCCAACTACGGGATTACAGTTAGGTACTCGGCGCGTTATTCCTCTCTCAGCTGGGAATCCGTGGGAAGAGGAAAGAAAACGACGGGGTGAGAGAGAAAGGAGAGGATAACGAGGGGATCTCGCGAGGAGCTGCTTGAGGAACGCGGCGAATCAATGACGAGGAAGCAGCAACGTTGCGGATGACGTACCGAGACCCATTTCATACACCGCGAGAGAGAGAGAGAGAGAGAGAGAGACTCTCGTAACCGCAGTCGGCCGTCGGCCGGAGAATAAATTAACGCTCATGTAGCTGTCGACAATATTTCGACGCGCATTTTTTACACGTTTCGCGCTAATACGCGAACTCCGTGCCCTCCGGTGTCAAGATGATCGGACACTTTCAGCGCGGAATTTAACGCGCCCGCCTTGTTGCCTCATCGTCGAGTCAACAAGGGAATAATGAAAATCTCTGAACGCCGGTGTATATTCTCTTCCTTTTTATGCCGAACTGAAAGACACTCTCGGACTTACCGATCCTCCTCGCGTTCACAGCGTCGAGAGCAATTGATGACTACCATGGCCGCGCGCCGTGCAGCACCGTTATTGCCAGAGTAAACAGGCCGGGCACATTATGCACGTAAAATCTCCGCGTCCTGTGCAGTTTCACCGAATAGTTCGCACAATAGGTGATTATCTAAAAGACAGCGTTTACATTTCTCTGAACGGGCGGCCGCGCTTCCGCGCCCGGCGATTGTCAACGGACTTTCTCGCGAATTCTAGGTTCTCATCGCTGGGGGTACCGCACCGGCACCATTACCTGAGGAGGAATCATACATGACACGGTAGGGGGGAGGGGAGGAAGGCACGGTAGACATTAGAGCGCTGAATCCGCGAGCGGGACGTGAGACGGTCGGAAAAACTGCCGTGCATCGTCCCGCTCGGGACGAGAGTTGGAAACTTGGCCGCGAGGCACATCCAAATGGGGATCCCACGGATCACCGAAACAACGCTTTGTCGCAATCAAGGTGGCGGAATGAAGGAAGCGAGCACACGGCCAGATGAAGCGAGGAGCACCGTGAGGAGCGTCGAAAGCGGAATCGACGGATGGAGAAAGAGGAAGCCCCTAACGAGACACGCGAGGAACGACCACCGGCAAAGAAAGCCCCGGTACAAACGGAATGTGAAGTATGGAGACACGTGAGTCGAGTGGAAGCGTAGTGGTGCCCATCGACACTTCCGTGCGGATACGGTCTACACGGGGAAAAGTCATTTTGCCGTTACTGCGAAACCATTGTTGTATATTCGTTGCGACTGCGATAAAACTTAGTTGGTATAGCCGAATTAGCGAATTAATTCGTAATTAAAACAGTGCTCGCTGCACGGAGAAAAAATTTTGTCAAAACGGCAAATTGTTTATTGATATAGCGATAGTAGAAAAAAAACGGTATATTTATGTATTGTTGATGTAATACCTAAAGTGATTGATTCGTAATCCAGAGGTCTCGAGTTGGCTCATCAGTGCTTGAGCGTGTTTTTCAGATACGATGTAGCGTTAAATTAAGTAAATGGCTAAATTTCAGGCAAAATCAGCATGCGCTAAAAACCTTAAAAGCAACTTTTGTTAAAAAAAAGCAATAAACTTCGAGTCGAGAATATGAACATGATTGTAATACTATTGTGCGATCTAGCTAATATTTTTCGCTCTATAGCATTCAAATTTGAACAGCTAATAAATTTAACGGCAGTAAGAACGACATTAGCAGTCTCTATTTCAAAGACACGTTTTAGCTGCCGCGACTAGATTTTAGCTCCAACGGCTAATTCTGAAATGCGAACACGAGGCTGTCCAAAGGTGCAACTGTATTGCGCCAGTTTCGATGATGCGTTCCCGATGAAACGGACGCCTAAAGAAGACCCGTTTTCGGTCGACATCCGAATTCGTTTTTCGCACGACATCCGCGTAAATTCGCCTTTACCTATCTGCGAAAGGGCGATCCGTTCCGGTCGTTACCACCGGGGGGGGG